GCCAAGTGGGAAACACTGTGACCGTCGTGCACCCCTCCGAGCTGCCCCCTCTTCCTCGCTCGCTCACGCGCTTTCTCTAATGCACGTTCGTGAAAGGGGCCCCTGACGCGCGCCCGTGTTGGGACGTTTCTTTTGTAAAGCTGATTGATTGTGAATAAACGTGATGTTTTCTGTTCGAGCCTCCTGCAAGGTGTGAGGTCACTGTGGGGACGGAGGGGACCAGCGTGCCTGAACTGCCGTGTCCTTCCTCGGGATGCTCAGGGTGGCATCCCTGGAGGGAGACAGCTGGGCTCACAGTTGTGTAGCTGGCATTACAGAAATATCATCACAAGGGTCTGGGTATCGTTGCCCCAGGGAAGGGTGGTGTCACAGTTTGGGCACCCCATCATGGAGCAGCATGGGGTACAGGCTATTGCTGGGGGGCTGAGGGAAGCACCACTCCATAGAGGAGGAACCCCCCTCCTGACAATAGGGAAGCAGAAACCAGTGGGAAATCACGGCCTCCAGGTCAGATCGTGATGGTGAGGAGCTCACGTTGGGTATAAATCTAATTAAGTACTAGTAATGAGTTCCTGACCTAGCTAGGCACAAGCTGGTCCACCCTCAGCACAGCTCTTAGAGCTGCCTATTCTAGAGCAAGCCATGGCCAGGTCTGCAATATGCTTTTGCCCCTCAGTGGCTCCTGTCCCTCCTAGGAAAGGCACAACCTCACCAATATTTGGGGAAAACAGAGCATAAAGCCTGAGGACTCAGTTTTCCCCAGGGCCCTGCCATCACTGGCATGCCAGTGGGGTCTCCTTGCTGAGCCAGAACTGTTCCCCCAGCTCCCACTTCTCTTCCTGGAGGGTATTTAATGCCATAAAACAAAGTCTGTGCTCTCAGCCCTTCAGCACATCTCAAAGTTGAGGGGTTTTTTGAAGGAAAAAAAATATCACTCTTGAGTACATACATCAGCTGGAGCATATGGCTCAAGGGCTTTGCTGAGCTGGAGGCTCACCCCCACATCAATAACAGGAGGGGGCTACGAAAAAAGTGACCTCTGCTCGTGCGCCCAAATAACAGCAACATAATCAGGAAGAACAGCACTTTTTAGAGAAGGAAATGTCCAAAACCACTGCTGGGATCACAAACTTAGGAGGAGGTGAAATAGAGGGGGGACTGGTCCAGAAGCTCCCCCCCCCTTAAAACTGCAAGAGGCCTGCGAGGGGGCTTTTGGGGCTGCCGGCCAAGGCAGAAGACACGCGGGAGGATGCAGGAGGATGGAAACAGCCTCGATGCTGATGTAGGCTACTGGCATAAAACCCATCTCCTCCGGAGCCCGGAAACCCGTCCCACGCTGAAATCTGTGTAAACTCCACTCAGAACAGCAGAAACAAAGGGGACGCCAGGAGATGCTCGGGCAGGGACTTCGGTGCTGCCCTCTGCCTCCCCGGCAGGCGATGCTGGCGCGATCCCAACCCCAGCCATGTCCCTGGGATGTGTGGATCTGTCACTGCTGGGACGGGAGAAAGGGGGGAGCCCAGCAGCACGGCTTCTGCAGGGCCATCTCCTTTCCCCCCAGAGACTCACCGCCAGTTGGGTAGACGAGGGGGTACGCAGGAAAACTTGATATAATTTATCCAGACGTTTTAAAAGCTTACAGCTAACACCTCCATATAAGGCTCTTCAGGAACCGAAGGCATTACGGAGAGATTAGAAACTGGTTGGGAGACAGAAAATCAAGAATAGGAATAAATATTTGATTTCCATCCTGCCCCGGCTCTCTGCGGGAAGCAGCGGCTGCTTCTCACCCATCTGGGGAGGAGGAAAGCAAGACAGGAACATTTATTTTTGGTAAGCTGAGCCTCGCAAGAGCTGCAAACCTGTGACAGGGCTTAAAAGGTGGAGGAGACAACAAATCAATGGCGTTGCTGGCTGGAAGAAGTAATTACAATGACTTACACATATTGCTTGCTTCTAAATTAACCAGGAGCACTCCGGAGAAGACCCGTGTGCTCCCAAGGGCAGCTGGTTGGAAAACAACGCCTTGTGTGCAGAAAAGACAAGGAACAACAAAGTCACCCTTGGGAGGGGTTAAAGAAGAACATTTTTACCAATGGCGCGGAGGTTTTGCTGTTGGGGTAGCTGGGTAGGTACGCTTAGCTGGGATGCTGGGTTGTGTCTGGATACCTAAGATGGGGGGGGGGCAAAGAAATGGAGGAAACCCAAGAGGTGGGCAGAGCAGAGGCACCGTCAGGCAGGCCGTTCTGTGGGGGCTGGCGCAAGAGGACATGGCGGGGGAGACTGTTGGATACGATGGATACCGCCTGCACGCTCTCCTCCATCTCCCCACCAAGGGGCTGTTAACACACTTCAAGGGGAGGAAAGGGATGGCTGTTTCCCTTCCTAATCTGCACGACTCGCTGCTGCAGGGATTTGCACTGGCCAGGGGCTTAGCCAGACTCAACACTCCCCCTCACAAGGCCTTTGTCCTGCAGCAAAGACTGGGTCAAACATGGCAACCGGAGCCTTCAGGCCTGATGGCTATTAATTATCAGGTTTGAAAAGAAAACACTGCAAATCCTGAACCCCTCCAGCCCCTTCCCAGCTTTCTGGAGGGGCACCACCAGCCATGCAGGCTCTGCCTCCCCAGGGACACAGGCAGCCCTGGGACCCCTGCCTCGGGACGGGCTTTGGGGAGCTCCTGTGCTCCCTGACACCTGTGGCCTCAGCTTCGGGCCTGTGGCGTGTCAACCTCCCGGTCCTCTCAAACCAGATCAAGCCAGCCCATACTTTGACCCCAGGAGGTGACACTTCCGAAGCCCCCATTACTCGCACTGCCCTAGCAATGGGGGGGCTGCCTTAATTGCCTTCCTGCACCTCTCTGTCCTGCCGGGAGCCTCCTCCGCTCCCCTCCCCAGGAAGGCTCATTAAGACTCGTGCAGCGCTCGCACGGGGAACACGCCGTGCCGTGCTTCCAGAGCATCTGGCACAGGAACGGCCCCCGCACGGCTGCTACAGCCGCGGGCGGGGACGCGTAGTCCCCCAGCCGTTACTAGAGGTAGCAGCTACGGGATCGCGCGTTGGTGCTGCCTTGCCCAGCAGACTAGGGGATCCGGCTGTCCCAAAGCGGGTTGCTCTGTCCATCTACAGACAGGCACCTGGTCGCTCAGCATGGAAACTAAAGACCAGGTGATGTGAAGCCAGACGTGTATCTGCCTTTTGCGCTAGCAGCTCAGGGACCACTACGTGATCGCTGTGTTGGCCCAAAAAGGCTTTGCCTGGCTTGCAGTGCTGTAGAGAGGCAGCCCGCGGAAACCCGGCGCTTGAGGGTCCAGAAACGAACTGCCCACATTTTGCTAAGCCAGAGCAGACAGAGAAAGGCCAGCAGGATGCTCTCCTTCCTCAGGAGGCACCTCTACCTCGCAGCCCCACTGTATCACCCACCACAATCACAAAACACACGGCATTCCCAACTTTGGGCCCTCTGCAGTTTGGGGTTTGGCCATTTTTCCTTAGCTTTTCACCTAGGAGCTGCTGATGAATAATCCTTACAACCAGTCCCAGTTTCCCGAGGGAAACGCTCCCAGGGGACACATTGATCAAAACCAAAGCACATTTAATTGAACCCAGAATCCCACACGCATGCGCGCTCCCCTCTCCCCCCGTCCCCCCTGAACAGAAGCATATGCACACAAACATACCAGCTCGCACAGACTTGCTGCTTAGTAGC